TCATAATATTTTTAAACTACAGATGCAATTTTAATACAAAAATGTCTTAAATCTTAAATCTTTAAAGTTTTAAGAAAAGATTTGTTTTAATGAGAAAGCAGCTTTAATAGTTATGAAGGTGTGGCATGACCAGCTCAGTTTGTGTGGTTTTTTTTCTTCTAGACACAGTCCTTATTGGTAAAACCGATACCAAAATATAACTTCCCAAGATTCTCAACATCTCTCATTTTAATTTTTCTTTTTCGTGTTGAAATTATCATAAAATTATTATTGTGATTCTCCTAATACAGCGATTGTACTCAGGCAACATTCAGCCTTCATTCTCGTATCATTTCAACTTTATTGTCGTATTTCTTCATTCTTGTAAAATAAAAAAAAATACAAGCATTAAAACATGCTGACCTCACATCTTATTGTGATCTAAAAATAGATCTTAATTTTTCCAAAAGTTAAATTTTCAAAAGCCAAAAATTTTATGAATTGCTAAAATCGATTTTTTTTTCTTCTTCAAATTAAAAATGGAAGAGATTATTTTTAGCCTGAAATGTGGCCCCATGTTTCCTCTCAGGTTTAGTGGTTCACGTGGACAAGAGAATAACTTTGGCAGCATTCAAGCAGAACCTGGAGCCCTGCGTTGGTGTCCCGTCGTCCCAGTTCAAGGTGTTTCGAGTTTACGCCAACAACCAAGAGTTTGAGAGCGTACGGCTCAACGAAACGCTCTCATCGTTCTCCGACGACAACAAGGTCAGGACGAGCTGCCCGCGGTATTTCTGACTTGAGGGAGGAGTTTGTGTAGAAAGACCTTTAAGGTTCTAATTTAAGTTTTTCTTTGACTGCTCAGATAACCATTCGACTGGGAAGAGCATTAAAAAAGGGGGAATACAGAGTCAAAGTGTTTCAGCTGCTCGTGAATGAACCAGAGGTAAGATATGATTCAATGTCATTATGATCCGATGGCATAGCTCCTGATGTGGTTTATTAACGGCTTCATCAGCATTTCCTCACTTCCTTTTCAAATAGTCGTTACGCTAAACCTTTAAGGTTGTCAACCTCCATTTTAATTGCTGCCCTTGTGCGCCATCGCTGGGTGGTGTCAGTTCAATAACATGTTTTTTTTTCTGCAGCCTTGTAAGTTTTTACTGGACACGGTGTTTGCTAAGGGAATGACTGTAAGACAGTCCAAAGAGGAGCTGCTTCCTCAGTTAAAAGAGCAGTGCAAGCTCGACCTCAGCATCGACAGGTAAGACCAGTCGGTGATGAGTTTGGCATGTTTAACGTTTTTCTTAAGAAAAAAATTGTTTGTATGAAATGGTTCATAAACGTATTTGTGTTTTGGTAGGGTTCGTCTCAGGAAAAAGACGTGGAAAAATCCAGGAACGGTGTTTTTGGACTACCACGTTTACGAGGAAGACATCAGCATTTCCTCAAACTGGGAGGTTTTCCTGGAAGTCTTGGCTGGTAAAAAACATAAATGCTCGGCAGATTTTATAAAACAAGTTGAAATGCATTTTTCCACTTGTGTTAAAACGGAGGCAATTACTGTGTTTTATGAGATCTTGATGACTTTCCATGAATAGAAAGTTACTGTACTTTTAATGTAAAATAAACAACGAAAAGATATTAAACTAAAGACAGCCTCCTAAAATCTCCAACAAATCGGTGTTCACCATTTTATGTAACAAAAACATAAAATCTATGTTTAGAAATAAATACCTAGCCAACTTTAGTTTGTGGTGGCTCAGCATGAGAGTGTTTGTATAACGCTGTGACATTTTTTTTTTCAATGAAAGGTGTCACAGTATTGTAAAAATGAAAATTTATATAATTTTAATCTGAACAATTTTTGTTTCTACTGCTCCCATAATGCTCTACTGATTACTTGCAGCAATGCTGTTCATACCATTTACTTATTGTGATTTCAACTTTAATACTAAGCAAAAACATCCGTTAAAACCTGACAGCTGCTCAACAGAAATGCTGCTCAAAGCTTTCCAGCTGCAATTTTAAAATCGCTTCACTTTAACAGGAGGAATATGTGGACCTCCTGTTGTTTCCATGCCATGTTTCCAGCTTTAAATTTCTTCTACCAGAGTGTCTCTTTTTTGTCAATATTGTAAAGCATCGACTTTTTAAAGCTTTAGTATAACTTGACTCCGGTAGCCAGCCCATGGCTGGTACAGCGTTATGTACTTTTGAGTCGTCGTTTGCTCATTCTCAGATCCAGAGAAGATGAAGTCCATGTCGCAGTTGGCCATTTTGACCCGGAAATGGAACCCAGCTACTATGAAGCTGGGACCTTTCCAGGAAGTGATTCTGGAGAGCAGCAGTGTAGAAGAACTAAAGGAAAAGGTATTTCTGTCACCTGGTTACATTTAACTTTTACAGTTTGTACAAAAGACTTAAGCATCCCATCTATGACCAAAAGACTTTTAATCATTTGCCATATTTTTTTGTCTTGTACAAGATAACAGCATTCAGTTTCTAACAATAATTTCGTGCTGCTAAGGCAATTAATTGAAAAAGAAATATCAATATCTTTATTGTACATGATTTCTTTGTGAAGTTGTCGCCATCTGCTGGCCGGTGGTAGTAGCCTCATCCTCACTTTTATGTTATTTTTGCACAATGTTCAAATAATTTTTTATTTTTTATTTTGCTCCCTGTACATGTTAAGTGAATCAAGATAAAAATCCTTTATTCTTTTTGCTGGATTAATTTCAGCAAGCTGAATTGCTTTCTGGCTCTTGTATTGACTGATGCAGTTTTGTCTTAATTGATGATATCGTAAACATATTCTTCTTCTTTTTCTTCTTCTTCACTTTTGCAGCTCAGTGAAACGAGTGATATTCCCCTTGAGAACTTGGAATTTGCAAAGGTATGAGTATTTAAATATTTCAGAGCTTGTTTCTTCATGTGATTTTTATTTATATCATGAGCTGCATGTTTCTGTTGTGCAGGGCAGGGGAACGTTTCCATGTGATATATCCGTGTTGGAAATCCATCAAGATTTGGACTGGAATCCAAAAGTTTCGACTCTGAATGTGTGGCCTCTGTACATCTGTGACGATGGAGCTGTGGTCTTCTACAGGCACGTCGGCAATAACATGGAAACATGTTTACACGGTCTCTGATGTTCACTGATTCATACCTTTTAAGCCTATTGTTAATCATGTGTGCCATCTCTGTCGGTGCAGGGACAGCAGAGACGAGCCTCTGGAGCTGTCGGAGGACGAGCGCAACGAGCTGATGAAGAAGGAAAGCAGCCGCCTGCTGAAGACGGGACACCGCGTCAGCTACTCGCCACGCAAAGAGAAGGCCCTCAAGATCTACCTGGACGGCGGCCCTGTGAGGGACCCGGGGCAGGACTGAGCCACGCACAAACCACTCTGGGCCGTTTAGATCGCCTGGCTGCTGCGGGGGAAACCAAACCACCAGGCGTCTGGACTTTGACACAACAGTGACTTGAAACGAAGCAGCATTGTGAGGAGCGTTTTCTCACCGCCTGTGCTCGGAGCCCCACTGCTGTCCAGAACCCTTGTTGTGTACTATATTGTAATGTTCTGTCAAGTCTAAAGGGAAGTTAAGAAGCTAATTTTAGAGAGAGGAATCGAGCACTGTATTGACAAATCACATGAAATGGATGTGGAGAAGCGAGGGCGGTGAAACCAGCTGGGAAGGCATCCACCCTGTGTCTTTGTGAGTCTTCTGAAATCAAACTCCGTCTTTCTGTGTTCATCTCTCTGTTCTGGACAACGTTGATTCTTGCTCATGTGCGTCTCGTAATGTTCTCATACCGTTTGACCACTGCTCGTCCTCAGTTACTCACTGTCTTCTGAATGCTTTCAACAACCAACGCCGCCGAGACCTCCTGACCTTCCCACCTCCTCCACATCTCCTCTGGTGGAAAATGACCTTGCTTTCTCTGTAACTTTGAAGAAAAAAAATTTATTAATTCACAGAATTTGATGAGTCTAGAAGGAAAACGTTGTGCTCCTGTAACACCCTCATTATGTGTTGTTATGGGCTGCTTTGCTTCTAACGCAGCATTTTCACTTCATGTAGTGATTTCATAGGATGTTGGTCCTTTCTGTCATAAAATACAATGAAGCAAAACAAAGTAGTTTTTGTTAAGAATTTTCTTCTATTGTTTGTAAGTTATTACAGACCCAGTCGCCGCTGTTGGGTCTTTAGCAAGTCTCACATCTGCTGTCTGATCATTTATATTTGGAGAGAATCTATTTGTTGATGTTATTGTCGTTTTGTTTTTGCACTTTGTGAGCTGGACGTCCACAGCATGGATCACCCTGATGTGCGAGTGGTTGTCCTGTCTGGTGGGGGATCTCTGGGTTTGAGGTTCGTTGGGTTTTTTTGTGTGTTTTTTTTTTTTTCCGGCGCTTCTATTGTCTGCTGCTGCTTGATAGACTTGACACCAGAGGACGCACACAGCCTGCTGGACTCTTCCTCTTCCCCAGGTTAAGGCTCTGTGAACGTAAACTCAGCATTCAGCAGCCCTGGTTTCCTGAGGTTGTCACCAGCTCTTCACTGTAGAAACGTCAATGTCGGAGGATTTACCTTTTTTCTTTGTTGTTCATTTCTTTGGAATTTGAGATCATGTGTGAAAATAGTTAAAGATGATTTTAGAAATAAATTAAAAATACTTTTTTTGATTTAAAAAAAAAAAGACTTTCTGACGGTGATCATCAAAATAGCTTACTCACAAAAGGGACTTTGGTTTTATTTAGATATATTTTTTTTATTCTGCATCCAGAGAAACAAGTTTGATTAATAGAAGAGCAAAAGTCTAATTGGATCACAAACTGCTGCATTCAGAAACATTAGATACTGATAACGATGCTCCTAAAGTGTATATGAGATTATTCATTTCAAAGCAATGATGCACGAACTGCATAAGGAAGCAGAGTCACAATGTCGTCCATTTGACCTGTGGGAGTAAATAAATTGCTTTTAATTGCATAACTTTAGATGTGATTGACCAGGAATTGGAAAAGAAGCTTTATTAAAATTAAAACGTTCTATGGTCAAACAGGAAAACAATAACAAAGCCATTGGTGCACGTTTGATTGATTAGGATGTACTGCATTGTCTGGTGAGTCAAAAAAATTCAAATGTAGCACTGGTGTATAAAATTAGCAAGACTATCTTTCAGTACAATTAAATTCAGAATTATCTATATCATTTTTTTAATGTATGAAAATAAATAAGAGCATCTCTTGAAATATATTCAAGCAGTTTAAAATATCAGTTTTTAATAAAAGAGTAAACGTTTTTACCCATTTAGAAATTGTCCATATCCATTTTTCAGGCATTGCTGAATGGCTGAAAAATGGTCATCAAACTGTTATTGCACAAATTGAACAAAAATCCTATGATTAATAAAAAGAGCCAAATAAGATGAAAACCTTCCAATAAAAAAAAAAAGTGGTATATAATATATTGGGGCCATTTAGCTAAGGAGTGAAGGAAAGAACACAACCTTATTGTATTGAAATTTCAAAGAAATAAGTGGTTTCAATCTGTAATTCCAGCTGTGACTAAATGTTGAGTACTACTGAATTTACATGGATAGTTTAGGCAACATTCAGTATAAAAGCTTTATGTCATTTAATACTCAAAGAAACAAAAAGAATCAGTGATTGAAACTCTATTGGTGTCCATTATATCAGCTTTATAACTTTACAACTTTGGATTAAGCTGGCAAAAAGACAGTGGGAAAAAGTTTCATGCTGCTTGAGAGTGTAAATTCAGTCAAGCTTTGTCTAGAGAATGTAGTCAATTTCTGAGTACAGAGAGTCCGTCAAGTCCTCTTCACTCGAGTCCTCTGCTTTCAGGCACATGGATCCTCGCCTGTCAAACAGTAAGAAAGGAGCAACTCAGAATAAATACTGGTGTAATATGTGCACCATCACGGTCACAGACTGTGAGAAAAAAAAACGTGCTGCATTCACCCGAGGTGCTGGCACTGAAGCTCTCCTGCACACGGACAGTGTTTCCTGGGTTTGTTGTCCTGCATGTCCCAGGACAGCAGCTCCATCAGGTTGTTGGAGACATCAAAACAGCGTTCACGTTCAATCGGCTTGACCGAACAAACGGGGAATTGCAAGGCTGCAAAACAGGAAGTGTTTGTTGATTTTTTTTTGATTAAGATCATACACAGTAATTGATGTGTCCGGGGTGTGCTGTGTGGTACCTTTATGAATTGCACAGCAGAGATCTGGCTGACAATCATTCTGGACTTGACAAGTGCTGCCAGCTTCTCCTTTGGTCACATTTTTGCTGCACTGACCCCACACACACATCTGGTCGCCGCAGCACTCGTCATCTTTAGTGCAAGACTGAGAGAGAACATTTGCGTTTCTTCTTGAGATTTTTGACGCACATGTAAAAGATTAAATAATTAATAATGAACTCTGCCGTCCTTAAAAGTCACCAAAAAGAGATAAGGACATGTGCATTAAGTTTACCAGAGCTGAACCTCACAGCCGCATTATTTTCAATGACCCTTGAACCGTGGCGATTGCTGACTTTGTTTAATTAATAACGAATGAAACCTGCAGTACAGTTTGAAAGTGAAGGGGGCTGAAGGGAGTTTTTCATCACACGCTCTTATAACAGCTCATATAGAACAGGCTCATCAATATTCCGGTTATAGCTACACGGAGCTGCACACTGCAGCAATCTGAACAGGACACAGATCATGTTCCCCATGTGTTTATTCTCCTTTCACGCTGCACCTGTGGTTGGCCGACTGCCCGCCTGCTTTCTTCCAGTTGCTTTTTATTCTGCTAAACCTAAAATGACGAGAACAGATCTCCAAGTCAGGACCAAAGTGCTCAGATAAAAGTAGTTCAAGCATTTCTTCCAAGCAGATAAAAGTGATGAGCTCTTGTCCAACCTTGACTCGGCCTGTCCTTTCATGTGAAGCTAACAAGACAGATTGCTCACAAACGATACACACTCCAATTACACTTGTGGACGCATAGCTGCATTGCAGCTTGTGAGAAACTCCCAGCATCCTGAAAGATTAGGAGTTAGAATTACATTATTACTAAATATTTTTTAATATCACAAGGGCAAGATGAAGGACGATGGCAAAAAAAATAAAACTTCCCTGCGTAAAATTAAATTTGATAGAAGTTGAGCCAAAAATAAAGGCAACATTCTGCCACTTACCACATCAGTGTCTTTACATGACTTACACTTGGACTTATGAGTGTCAGAGAGGCAATACTTTCCTTTTCCACAGTCGTCATTAGTCATGCATCCCTGCAGAAAAAAAATGAACAAGTGATGAATGTTTGACCTTTTGCATCTCCAAGATAATTGTCACTCTATTCAAGAGGCTGAAGATTTGAGATGTTAAGCTGCAAGCATTAATATAGTACTGATTACATTTTCCAAACCGTGACTCAGCAAAAAAGAAATAAAAAAATATATTCTTGCAAGCATATCCACACTTCATAAGATATTTCAGCCAAGTGTGAATATAAAATTTTAATATAAAATTTAAGTGACTTAGGTTTTTCTCACTCACTATAGCAATGACTCAGTGAAACAGTTCACGTCTTAATATTGTATTTCTATTGTAATGTATCATCATTCTGCCTGCAGTGCCATAATTGAGTACGAGGCATTTCTTTTTTTTTTTTTTTGAGCCATACAGTATGTGCCAAAAATGATGCGACATTCATACTGCTGGGAAATCCAACATCGGCTTCTGAATCTGAGAATGAATGAGAAAAGGCTCACATGGTCGATACTGTTATCCAGGCCACTGACTGGGAAAGCTGTGGTGGTCATGTTGTTTGTCCCCTGGGCAAAGTTGACAGGTTTTATTTAGAAGGTAAACAGTGTCTGAGTTTTGTTTACCGTTTCGAAGCTGATTTACCTGTTCTGCTGAGGAGTGCACAGATTCCTCATTCGTCACATTATCAGTCTCATTGGGATGACTCTGAGGAAGGTCACTGTGATGAGGGCTGATACTGCTGTTTGTCTAGACGGAGAAAGATACAGAAGGTCTTATGAAAAAAAAAACAAAGAACCATGTTACAACAATTTCACAAGCTATAGATGACTCAGGTTTGTTTTTCTTATTTGTATGGTTTCATTTCCAGTTGCACAAAGTGACTTGGAGCAGCGCAGAAATAAGGCCATGTCATGCAGACAGTAAGATGCTGACTGAGAGATGCAACCAGCTGCCTACCTGGGGAAACGCATCCTCAGGCTTTTGCAGCCGATCCTCCTGCACAAATATGCGGTCCAGCTCCGACGGTCCCTCCACGATGTGATTGATTCCTGACTCTGCGATCTCAGGCAGGATGCCATTGCAGACTGCTGGCAGCGCCAAAAGAGTAAGGATGTATCGCATCATGCTGCTTCTGGTCCTGCTGCTGCTGCTGCTGCACACCGAGGAAAAAGAGGAGGAGGAGGAAGAGGAGGGTGTGGCTGCTGCTCCAAGACACAAACAGCCTCGTCACAGCTGTTTTCTGTCATAGCAGACAAATCGCACCACAAGTAAAAATCCGCTATTATTATTATTATTATTATTATTATTATTATTATTATTATTATTATTATTATTATTATTATTATTATTATTATTATTATGTGTTTTGAAGTAGCTCATAGCCTGCACTGCACTGACCAGTACAACACTTTAATTAAACTAGTTTAAAAAAAACAACAACAACAAACAGCAACGGAGACAACCGAGCATAATACGAGGAGCGCCGAAGATTGATGACGCAACGAGAGGAAGGCTGTACTTGCCAAGCAGTTTGCAACACTTTATGCTTTTGCAAAATGAGTAGCCTATCCCATTTTTGGTGACACTTTATTTTGACGGGTGGTGAATACGACTGTCCTTACACCGTCATAAACATAACACCTGTCATGAACATGAGTGAGTCTTCATGAATATTTATGACTGTTGTCATAAAGTGTCATTCGGTAAATCATGACACTTTTAATACAAAGTTGACCATTATTAAAAATGTCTTTGTTATGACAACTTGACATTAACCAAGAAATCATGATCTGACATAAATATGTTATAAAAGTATTACTGATTAAACTTGAAAAAATATGTGACTTTATATTATTAAAGCTAAAGTGTAATGGGTGATACATTTAGAACAAATTTAGATTTATTTATTTAAAAAAAAAATAAAATGACTTCTTGTTTATTTCTGTATTAACATACAGAAATTGCCTGTTTCTGCTTCCAGAAACAGGCAGCAAAAAACAAAACAAAACAAAACAAAACAAAACAAAACAAAACAAAAAAACAAGCGTAATAGTGGACCTTTAATTTCTATTCAAAGGCCAACATTTGTATAACGGTGAAATAAAATGGCCACCAGATGGCGGTATATTTACTCTCCACGTGGATACGTCCGGGCGATGGATTCCATGCGTCTTTCCAGAGTTTATTCGGGGGGTTTTGTCAGTGCGCGGCCGGATTACAGTTTGTGCTGACACACGGTTAAACGTGGGCCGCGGTGTTTTAGTCAGGACCGGGTCAGGGCCGTGTGGCGCCTGGGAGTCTCAGTGGGAGGCGGGAAATAAACTTTGTAATAGAGTGACGTTCTTTCTGACGGTTTTGTTTGGGGCTAAAAATGTAATACATGCGACACGCATACAAACGAGCCCACTAAGAAGGCTTAACGGTGGTTTTTAGTAGAAAGTAAAAAGCACCCCTAAAAACGCGGGTTTGGCCCCAGGCTCCCTCTGCAGCTTCAGGGGCTGCAGCAGCAGTTTCTGGGATGTGTCCCGGTCTGGAGCGCCGCCCTCAGACAGCGGCTCACAGAATCTGACAGACGGACTGAGAAAGTCGTTTTTCCTCACAGCTCCTAATTTCAGCGACGACTCTGGAAGGCGGGAGAGTTCAGGTTAGGGTTTTAAGGTAAGCTCGTTTTAAGGTGAACTCTTTGCTGTTTTGCTGTGTTTGTCTGTCCTCCTCACAGAGGCGCATTGGGACCTGTGAGGCACCTGACTGAGTTATGCACCGGTTTCTGAGAGCGTGTGTTCCTGGCTGCCTTGCTTGACATGATTAGACTTGACTGAAATGCAACTCATGACCCAGTGACTGACAAAAGAAAAAAAAAATGCTATAATTAAACAGCTCACATTAAAGTCGGTCTAAATTTGGCCTTGGAGATTATTGCAGAAGTTTGGAGGTTGACAGAATATGGTGATTTGATCATCTCACAGTGATATCTTTAAAGTTTAATCCTCGTCTCCCTGGAGCAGACAGGATTCAGATATTAAAAAGTCCTGATTAAATTCTTCTGTTTGAGAGGAGACAGGCAGCTGGTCTTGTCTCCACTTTCTGATAACACAAAGGTTATCTCCTCTTGCGCAATTTCCATTTATTTATTTATTTATTTATTTGTATTATTGTCATGCTCATGGTTTGTGTCATAAATCAGTTGCATGTGTAGCTGCTGTTATATCTCAAATCAGCTCCAATCACAACTGGAATGGCAGCTTTCTCAACCCGCGAGTTCAAAGACAGACAAAGGAGAGTATAAACGGGTATAGTTGGCTTTTGTCTTTATTTTTGTTTAAGTTAAGTTTAAGTTTGTTTTTTTTTTTTTGTTTTGTTTGCCTTTTTCACTGGCTCAGCAGTTTCCAAAATGGACCTCTGGGTTGAACCAGCTGAATAATAAAGAGGTGTGGTGTCTGCAGGCTGTCGGAGATCCCAGAGCCACAGGAGCTTTCTGTTAATGTTTCGCAGTGACGAAGGTTAACACACATGTGTTGATCAAACACACACATCTGGTGCCTGAATGAACAGCAGGCCCCTGATCAAACTCCTGATCAGAGAAGAACAGAGCAGGGAGGACAAAAACCTGTCCTTAGGACAGCTGTGTTTTTTTTTTTTTCTGCACTCTGTGTTTCAACATACTTCATGCACACACAGACAGGCTGTGACTCAGAACATTGCAAAATGATGCATGGTCCCAGAGCAGATTTTCCTGGTATGGGTCTGAAAAGTCACCCAAACACCAGTTGATTTCCTTCCTTCTCTTCTATGAGCAATAATTTCCTGTGGTGGAGATAAAGTTCACCCCCCACCCCCAATCCCACTCCACCGTCACACTGTAGGAATTAACCTTTGTGACTGTTCTAATCTGAGCAGCGTTTATTTGGTCCACTGTGGTCCAGACACCAATGAACTTTGTACTGCCTTCACATCGACCTTCAGCCACGTCACTCCCTTCCTCCTGAAGATATCCCATCTGTGTGCACACCTTCAAACTTATACTTTATAGCGCCTTTAATTACATTTCATTACACAGGCTGGTCTTATTGGTGTCAGACAGCGTGGCTGACTTGCTAATAAATCCATCGTGTTGTGTCCACATCCTCACAGGTTTTCTGAATTCAGCATTTTGATTTTCTTCTGATGAATACATCAAAAAGCCAAGTGAATATTTCCTTTTGAAGAATATGTTTCTGAAAAGTGTGGCATGCATTTGCATTCATGGTCTTTACTGTGATACTTGTGAATGCCATTTACCTTCAAAAGTTAACCTTATAAAGTATCAGGAAAGAGAATATGTGAGAATATTTGTGACATTTTTTTTTTAAATCACACAAGAAAACCAATTTATCTACTTATTTATGTACTAATTAATTCTATTAAATAATCAGGTGCACATTTGTTTTCTGAATAACAGAAAAGTCATTAAAATAAATGTACACTGTTGTGGAAAAAAAAAATTACTCAATCGGGTTTATTCGTATATTGTGCACAATATACAAGTAAATACAATCAATAATGAAGCAGGTCCGGATGAAAAGCTCTGCCAGGCAGAGACAACATTTGAGTTTTATACCAAGGATAAGGAATTCAAAACAAGGATGAGGGCGAGACAGTCTGGTTCTGCTGCAGCTGTAGAAAACAACTCCCAGCCTTGAACATGTAACCCAAATAGTTCTTTTGCTGAGAGTTCACAAGCATTTCATATAGCATGATCAGCAGATGTTAAATTGTAGTAATTTTCCACCACAATTCCCTCCTTTTGCTTATCAGTAAATATGTAGTATTTCTACAGTTTTTATGGTGAGAAGTGAAAAATTATCCCATACATTTTATGACACTACATATTTATTCAGTCATTGAAACATTATTCTGTACAAGACACAAAAAAACTACTGGCATTCATCCATTCATCCCCTTATTGTTGTCACTTTTGTCAGCTATAAATACTACATATTTGTCATATGGTCCTTGAAGTATTAGCTTTGTCAAAAGTAACCATTATTTTCATAGACACTTATAAACTATATTAGAATAAACTGTCTCCTCTAATGTTATTCATTTTTTAGCCAAATGCTTTATCAACCTTTTTTTTTTTTGCTTATTTTTGTGTTTTTGCATCAGATTTTTTGTATGAAATAGCTCATTTAACACAGTTAACTCTTATTCCTTTATTCTGAACTTTATTGTCACACAACACAGGTAGAAATTCAGGTGACCTATGGGCATCAGCATCCACTTTTTTAAACCCAGTGGGTCTGCAGACACTCTAAACTACAGGTTTCAGTACTCCTTCAGTGAGTTACAAGTGCAAATTTACACGGCCAGCCTTTCATTTTTAGTGTATAATTACCAGCTATACTGCAGTTTAGCTTAAAAACAGTGTGGTGAGAAACAAACAGTACAGAAAGCTCCAAGCATGCAACTGAACGAAGGCCCGGCCTGTGATGATCCTTATGAAGAATCCGAAAACGGTGCTAATTCCCTCAACTCTTTGATTCTTTGATCAAAGGTGACAGACGCACTCGTGCTCTTCCTGTCGTAAATCTGATGTTTGTTTTAGCAACACCTGAAAGTTGACTCACCTGCAGGATGCCAGAACTGCGGCGGCCGCTACAGCTTTTTGTTCTCTCTCACTGTAATAATATTAGTCAATACAGTATATTACAAACACAATGACAGAAGCCACTGTGTTGCGAACATGAACACCCGTGCCAAGTTTGCAAACATTTTTCCCGTCCTAATGTTTATCAAACAAGCGATCAAACGAATAAAACCAGATAATAAAGGATTATCTCTATGAATGAAACACCAAGACATCAGGTCAATGAGCATGAAAGTCGTAAGACATGTTTTAGAAAGTCATGCTGAGAGCAAAAACTATTTGAACATGTTGAATGGAGGAACTATGTGTGGAAGCCCAAGCTCATTATTACCAGGGAGGCGTTGTAAACGCACTTCTTCCTCTCCGCGGCACGTTTCCTTCCTTGTTCCACAGCATAGAAAACAGTCACTTGCGACCAGGCGGCTACACAAAAGAGATGGGAACTGACACAGATAGGTGGGGTTTGTTGTTCCTCATAGAGTGACACTCTGCCAGAACTACAGTGATGTTCGCAGCAATTAAAAACAGCTACAAAGTCATGTAGCCGTGAAGGCCTTGTGAATCAGGTTATATAAATAACTAGGAGAAATGTGTACAAAAGTCAGAGGCTTGTTCCAGTATCTTACACAACAGTAATGTGAAATATTTTGATCCTTTTAGCCTCTTAGGTTGTAGGGGGGAAAAATAACTTTTTATAAAAACATCAACAGAACATCAGTCTCAGAACTTTTGGATTTGGTTTATGAGATAGTTTGACATAAACAGGATTTTGTAAAAGTAATTTTAATTTATTTTTGCTGTTGTGTTAAAGATCATCATGTTGCCACAGAGACTGATTTTGACTTTTTGCAGATTTAAGCAGTGTTTGGTTTCTTGCCACCTTTTTGTGAGAATATTGCTGCAGGCAATAGTGGCTATGGTTTTATCTGCAGCACCTCTGGAGATCTGGACTTTGACTTGGCCATTGCAGTTTCATATTAGATCATTTTCTCTTATTTTTTTTATTTGCTGCTGATTTGGGAATCATTTTCTTAACCGATTTGGTCCAGTTTGGGCTAAACCTCTATGAAAAACTTTAAATTTAACACCATGATTGAAAACTATTTTGAAACTGAAAAAGAAGCCCAAATATTTTGCAAATCCTCTACCGTGCGCTATAATTTGATTTTACTAAATTTATAAGCTGTGTTTGTTTTTCAGCCATATGTAGTGTGGTGTGTTTTAGACAATTCATCTTTACAATCCCTGGCTGTGCTGCTAAGTTCTTTTCAAAAAAGGCAATCCTTGCAAACTAGTTCTACTCATTCAGTCTGTTTTTAAATCTATAGCTAGCATTACCCATGTTGTCAGGCATGTTGAAAGTGGAATAGCAATTTTCCTGAGCTGCCTTAACTTAGAGTCAGGTTATTTAAAATCCACTGCTGTGAAAATTGGAAAAATAAAAAATAAAAAATGTTTTCTGAATTGGTTTTATTAACCTTCCCAAAGTTATGCAGAAAAACAAACTTTTATGCTTCTTCAGCAAATTGACAACACTGACTTTTTTCAAAGATTCACTTTTGTTACGATCCTTTAAGTAAGTCCATATAGTAAGCTATATGTGCTAATTTTGGTGAAAACGAAAAAGTTTATCTGTAGATTTTTTTCAACCTAAGTACAATTTTGGTTAATTAAATAATCAAACATAATTTTATATTATTAGGTTGTTCTTCTCTGCCTATATTTTCACTTAGCAGGAGCCTGTAACTTTGTTTTCATATTCCAAAACATAAAATTGTCACGACAACAATGATACTAATACTGACTGTTCAAGACAAGTAGATTTTTTGACTCTTTTATTTTACTTTACCAAGTTGGATTAACAAATGGTGTTACACTTTGCGGCACAGCTGCTTTTCTATGAAGATCCATGCTGCCCTATTGAATTGCTCAGCATCTAAACAGAGTGGTAAGAATCAATCATCATCATTACTGTGGTAAAATTTTCCCAGGAAACTGTTAATAAGTTCCTTCTGTCAGAAGAAAGGACATC